TGTGTGGTGACATGGGGCAGCACATGTGGCCCTGCCGCCAACAAGAGGGAGCACCCAGCCACCAGCCTCACCCTGGGAGATGTTTCTGCTCATCATGTCCCTCCTTTCACTCTCCCCACATGTTAATGCATATTCAAACAATGCATAAAAATAACCGGAAGGCAAACCACCACCGAATTGCCAGCCCTCATTCCTGAATAAGCTGCTCACAGTCAATTGCCTTTTTCCTAGTTTAGTTTTCTTTGAGCGTATTATAATGCTCTGTGTATTCAGTGACAATCACTTCTGCAAAGCTGCATTTCATTTCCTCTGACCACTAAAACAGTGATCTGCTTTACTTGCCTGAAACAAGTATCATGCACAGATTTTAATTATTTAGTCCTGATTTAGCATGCATGATATATGGGTATCATTATCGATGGCTGCAATATCTCTTCTTTTGGCTATTTAACATGAGGAAGATGCTCTTTGTTATTAACATCTGTTCATCGGGGACACAGACCTTCTCAGCATTACTAGCACCTTCTGTTTTTGTCAGGAGAAGGGAAAGTGATCAAGAGCCTCATCAGAGCCTAACTTGGCACTGATGTGTTTTCCTTTCTCTTAGCGTAGCCTAGATCAAAATTGTCCCTTAAAATTACAGTAGCTTTTAAAATAATGCTCAATAACTAGATCTGATTAGGCATAGACGAAGATGGTAGAGATACGAGTGTAACATTATTTAAATGTTATGGTTGTGTGTGGGCTACAAGATGAAAAAGAAGTTAATAAAAGACAGGGTGGAATTAGAAAATAAGATTAGTGAATTGCTTTAGCCGTGAAGCCATATTCTAGCTATGAAAAAACGGCTAATCTTATTTTTCCCCCACTAAGCTCATTCTGGTATTTCCACAGCCCAGTGAAGGTCTCACAGCAGAAATGTCCCCTTTACATTTACGTCGTTATTATAGCAGCCATTTTATTATGCCTTTTAAGGACGGATCTTCGGTTCGCAGTAAAACAAGGCTCTGGTTCTTTGCTGCTTTACTCCGGTGATGGTACAGCAGAGGCACCGAGCCATCTGCAGAAGGGTGTCTCTGCTCGGCTGCTTTCCAGGCAGGTTGAACCTGAAGGGGTGGATTTACTCTGAGGAAAGACTGCACTTAAACTTTTTTGCAGATTCCTCTTAAAGCAAAGGTAAACAAAAAAAGGGATTTCTACGAAAGCGTTCAATTCTGTGAGTGCTGCCAATACCAACCAAACATAACAACGTTAGTGCTCCAGACCAGGATCTTATTTCCTCCTGAAAGAAAGCATCAAATTCTGATCATATAGATAAAAGAGGAAACTTTTCATGAATATACTCTACTTGATTAAAAATCCAGCTCCCTATGGTTCAAACCTGGAAGATATTTTAATTTTCTATCTGCTGTTTCTGGAATTTTGACTGTGAATGTTTCTGACATAGTGTTTCATGGAGTATCCTTTCCTCATACTGTGCTTTTTTAATACTTCAGATGTACAGTAAACAACATAAGCTTATTTTATCTTTTACTCTCCATCACATAAAAGTGAAGATAACTAAAAGGAAAAAAAACACGAACTTTTAAAGAATATATTTTAATCATAAATATCCTGCTTATAGTCTAAAAGTCCCATAACAATCTCAAATATGCTCTACCAAACAGACCCAAACTACACATAACTAAAAAATCCAAACATTTACATTACTGTAAATAAATGTTTTGAAAAATCAACAGAGAAAAATTTTACATCTTTCTCATTTTGCCAGGCAAAAATATTCAGTTTTTTGCACACAATCATTATTTTTAATCAATTTTAGTACATGTCAGTACCATCCTGTCAAAAACTAACAGCACAGAAAAAAAAATCAATTATAAGCATGTTCTGATTCCGAACACATAAGTAAGAGCAACTCAGTCGCCAGGGTGACTTTCTAAATGTAATCCAGCCTATGGGAAAATATTCCTACCAATAATATGATAATATTCAGCATATGAAAGGTAGATATCAAGTTTACAGTGGAATGCCTTAAAGTTTATATTAGACTGACCTCAAAATTAGTGTTTTTAAAGCATGGAGTTATTATATTTAGAATGAGCAATATGAAGATATTTGGACAAACACAACCTGTGCTGAGTGCTTGAGGGATTTCTAAAATTGCCTTCTCACTTTTTAACTGGAGTAACAGACTAAAGGTTTAATACACCTAAAATCTCATCAAAAGTTTTCTTAAGTTTCTATTTCCTAGATTAGTCCATGAATTTAATTAATATGAAGCAAATGACTGGTGTCTATCAGGCCAGGTTTTGACCTGTAGAAAATGCCTACACCGTGCAAGTGAATGCAGTGGTAGGATGCATGAGCTGCTGAAGATCTTAGCTTGCAAGACAGAACTGCACTGTGCAGCTTGTCCAAGCAGGGTCTAACTTCCTTACCCACGCAGTATTCGCTGCTGCACTTGGCAACCTCTCACCGGATGCGTTAGCTGAAACACAGCAGCGTGCAAATGCGGCTGGAATCTGAGTTGGAGTCTTCACGGCAGCTGGCGCCCAGACCTGTACCCGCGTGGGCTGCTCTTTGTGACATTTCAGTGTTGCCATGTCCGTTACCTTCAGTCAGGTCAATAATTAATTCAGGATTTGTAAAAAGCTTTGTAAAAGGAGTCTCTAAACTAGGGGTGTGGTTTTGTGAGATAGGTCTATAAATATGACCTTCTTATATGAGAAGAAGAAAAACAAAGAAAAATGAACTAGTGAAGGGATACGTACTTTGTAAAACCAGATTAACCACTTCGGTGATAATCTAGCTTGTCTTTGTGTGCAATATGTACTTCTATAAGTTCTTCAGTTGATTCCTATGTCCATAACCTCATGTTGAGCAGCAGTATATCTTTGGAAAACAGGTTTTTTTAAAAGCAGTCATGTCAAATTCATTTTATGTGATGGGTTTGATCTGATATGCTGATGCTTCATAGCTAACACTTTCAGCAGAAGCTATTAAGTTAAACAGTATTAACAAAAAAACCCCTATGCTGTTCTATTTGCATTATAAACCAGTAACTGTCTGTTAATAACTCTAGCAAGGAGATCTGCAGCAAACAGTTTCTATATCTTTTGGCTGCTGCCTCTTTTTTGTTCACCTGAGTAGAAATGGGGTTTTGGAGACTGGTGGGGTCAGCTTTCAGTGAGCCGAACTCTGAATTATTTGTGCCATGGGTGGAGAGACACCTCAGGACTACCTCTTGCATTAGCCCAAATGCAACAACACAGAAGCTGCTTTCAGGAGCAGGCGAGTACATCTGGTCTGCCACACAGGGCCTGAGCAAATATACCTGCTAGAGCTAAGATGGCTGTGTATATGCTTGGCTCCAGTGTTGTCTGGCTGTGTTTCCACGGAAGGAGATAAAGGAGAGGTAAGTTATCTCAAAGCCACTTAGACCCAGCTAGGGTCTGCTAAGTCCAGTCAGGTTGCGCCCATTGAACTGAACACGTGGAAGTCCCCTTTTGGTAGCTGCCAGGTTTCAGAAGGGTTATTTTGGATATGGCTGTATTAATGTGTGGACCCATTCATGTCTAACACTGACCTTAATATAATAAACTCTGTGAAACCAGGTGCTTAGAGCATAATGCAGGTATACCGAATAGCTCTGCAGGAGACAGCTTTGATGATACAGCAAAACTCATACTGTTTTGGAGCTAATTGGTTAGTCTAGTTGAACCGAGTCTGATTTCTCACAGAGATGCTGTAAGATACATGTGTACTGTGCTGGGTTTGAATTTTATAAGACTTATCTTCTCTGGGCATTTTCATCAACTATAACAGAGTCCCTCATTCTCAGAGAATGAAGAATTGACTGTGTTTGGAGAGTTGATAGCACACACACATTACATGCAACCCACTAGGAGCTGCTGCTGAACTACTCTAACCCATCAAACTGCTGTAGCACTGCCTCTAAGCTAAGTAAACGTAGAACACCTGGAGTAGCTTTTGAAAGTGCCACGCCTCACTTGAAAATACAGATTTACTGCTTCTTCCCAAAACCACCGTTCAAGCCTTGCTTAAACAGGAGTGTTTAAAACATGTATCTGGGGCAAAGACAGCTCTTACAAGCGCGCGGAACTCAGATTTTGATCCATGAATAACAATTCACCTGCATGTGCAAGTTTTGGTAATGTGGACAATGTCATCTGCTCAGCATCGCTGCACATCAGGTCACATACCAAAGTTATCCATGTAAGGTTCTAACCATTAATGCTCTAATATGACAACAAGGCACAGGGCTATCAAAACTTACTGCTGTCTATTAGCAAGGCAGCCTGAAGTTGGCAAAAATAAATGTAGGGAACTGGATTTGCAAAAGAGTTCTATCCAGGTGTATATAAAACTTAAAGCTAACAGACCAACGGTAGCCAGCTATGATAGTGCCTGAAAAATTCTGGGATAATCCATAAGACATTTCCTGTTCAGAATGAAACCTCAGTGAAGGTGGAGAAGGTTCTGGGCCGTCCCTTTCCCCATGCCACCCATGAAGGGTTAACAGCATCCCTGACCCTGGGAGCTGTGCACCTGTGGGGCCCAGCCCCACCCAGGGATGGGGCTGTCAAAGACTGCAGCCTGGGGTCCATGGCTGGTTGCTGGAGGGGAGGAGTGAGGCAGTGCTGTGTGTTGGCCAGGGAACAGCTGATTTGGAGACTTTTCTCGTGCTGCTTCAGTTTGGAAACTGGAGGCATTGACTAGAAGTAGTAAGTGATTTATGTGGATGTTATGGTTATGCACCTATGCTGGGTAATGGGAAAATGGTGTTGTTTTAAAGAGGGGATGGCAATAAGCAAGAGGTCTGTGAAGGAGAGGGCTCCCAATATCATGTTACCCTGTTGAAGCGGTCATTCCTGAGGCTCCCAACTTCTTTCACACCAGGGACACTGAGGAGTTGTATGTGGTTTTGGTGAGAGGGGCGGTTTGGCAGACACAAGGAGAGGTACTCATTCATAGTCATCATGAATAAGAACAAGCAAGTGTGGACCTTCAAAAGTTTGCTGGCTGATCCCCTGAAAAACAATTCTCCAGAAGCAAGTACTCCTATATTCTTGAAAGACAAACATTCAGCCAGCCCAGAAAAAATAGTTGTTGCGATGTGGAAATGTAGGCTTAATTTTTGGTAAGAGCTTACATTTTGCCTGGAGTAGGAATAGTGAGTATGACATCAGTTGCTGCTTTTTGACCACTTTGGATAAACATAGTGTTTCAAATCAAGTGAACTGACGGAGTTGTTGTAATGGCAGGCTAATTTTCTGGTGTTGGCCAATGGAGCTGAGTTGGTTTTATTTTGGTTTTTTAGTTTAAGATTGAGTTGCGGAGAATGCTAGAGTAACATGAAGAAAATAAAGTCTGTGAAGCGCAAAGAGTAGTAGGTCTAGTGTCCAGATACTGCCTTCTGTGTTTTTTTCTCTCTGCTCTGGAAGTGGCTTCAGAGCTTGAAAGGCAGTGCAGGCTACATAATCATTGCTAATCCAAGAATTCAATACACAGAAAATTGTTATTTATGCCATGAAATTGCTCCAAAGGTTAAAATGTCTTCTCTGCCAGCACAGTAAGTTTCCCTTGAGGTTCTGTCAGGACTGAATCTAAATGGCTTTGAGTCCAGCTAATTCCAGGCTAATTAGCTTCAACCACACTGAACCTGGAAAATTGCCTCTTTCAGGAAGCGGCCAGATTCGTGCCTAGAAAACCCCACTCGTATTCTGCTCCAGGGGCTGGGTATAAATCTTTAGTGTTCTCATTAATCTTTTAAGCTGGGGAACATAAACATCTGGAAGCTTGCACTTTCAGAGTTCTGTAACAACATCTCCAACTGGTTATTTCACTTCTTTTGTCTATAATAATGCCCCATTTCATTCCCCATGTATTATTCATATATACCTTAAATTTAATCACCAACTCACTAAAGTTAAAATCACACTACACCTGAAATATAAACACCATCACACTGGAGTTGAGAACACATTATGACTTATCCATAATTACTATCATGCTGAGGTAAGGTTCCCACCTCTTTTTTGTGACACTGCCTAGGCTTTTGTGGTTATCAGTGCTTTTTTGTACCTGTATAACAAATGCAACCTTTTACAGTTCTTTTCCTCTTGGGTCCTTTCCTTTCTACACCGGGAAATCTTTTACATTTCATACTCCGCCTTCTAGTTAGTTGTTTTCTGCCATGTGTGAAAGTAGTGTCAGCCAATTAGGGATGTCCTGCCTTTGACTGCTGAAATCACTCTGGGTATGTCCTTTGTGCTCCCCCAGCAGAAATGCCACTGGGGGCTCCTGATCTTATACAGGGAACATCTCCAGCAATGAGCCAGACAATGTCCTCCTCTGCCTGAGCCAGCACTGCATGCCCTATGCTCATCCCGCCTGGCAGTCCCTGTCTTCACTTGCTCCCCAGACAATATTGTGATTTCAGTAGTGAACAAAGATGCTACTGTAGACTTGGCAGAGTATTTCTACAGACAATTCTTTTGTATTTTTGGGACAAGTGTTATAACGGGATTCCTGTGCAATGGGACAGAGTGCTGTGGTGGACTGGCAGTGTGCCTATGCTTGCATGGCAGGGGGATTCTACTAGAGCCCTCAACATCTCCATTATCTGCAGCTCCATGGAAATAAAGCTGGTCTTGCCTGTTGGGCTTTCTCTTTAATTGCTGGATCTTACCTAGCAGTTCGTGGGCTGGCTGGCCTCTTACCTATTCAGAGTCACAGATTTCCACAGATGCTCACTGTTGGTTACCGATCTTTTCTGTAAGTTTTCTGAGTGGTATCATTTCTTTTTCATTCTTGGTTCTCTAGTCTGGTCAAGCCACCATGTGCCACCTAGCTATCTTGAGTTGTGATGTTGCCTCCTTATAGTACTTTCAAAGCATTTGTATGGATAATGATTGCAGGACTGCAATTCTTTTTTTTCAGTTTGTATGTCAAACAAAACCTGAGTTTTGAGGGGAGGGGGGGGAAGGACTCAAACTTCAGGCATGAAGTAAAAAGTGCTGGAAGTCTCTACTTTGAACATTCTTGAATTCCACTTTTCTTTGATGGAATGCAAAACCAAGTTAAATGCAAAAAAAAAAAGGGATTGTGCCTGTGTTATACATGAAAATGTTGATGCTTTGTTCAGTTTCTCTGTGTTGTCTCATGCTCAGTATGAAGGTAGCATGTACATTTGGTGCTTTATAGAGAAATCTGAACATTGCTCTGACCTTTGCAATACCTGGAGTCAACAGTGCATAAATAGAACAAGAAAATTTTCTTTGAATTTGTTGTCTGGCTATAATTAAAACCACTAATGTTCTAATGCTGCCTTTGTTACAGGAATCACAGTGGTGAGCACTACATCTCACCTTATGTTATCTTCAAGAAGCCTTTCATGCTTATGTAATTAATTATCTAGCTTTCTTTTAATATATTTGTCAAGGAATCTTAAATATATTATTACAATGCCATATCTGCAATAGTATCTCCACATAAACAAATGTGCTTTTTAACTACAGCATTGAGAACTCCCTCTGGTAGGATTCCCAAACTGCTCTGCAGGTTGCTGGCTACAGCAGACTACAAAAACAAACCTCTTACCATGATCAAGGTCAGAGACAGGTCAGTCATTCATAGAATATTACATCTCTTCTTGGAAGCAGGAAGCATTTGATATTTGATTTCCCTATACACCATTCTTTGATGGATTTTCCTCTTCTTTCCTGCAGAGGGAAGAAACTGTTATGTTAAAACTGTTATGTGTATTTATACATAATGACTGATATATATTTAATACCAATAGTGTCCTGGAAAACCATTAAGGAAATGCATCTTCTGGCTCTGCAGAAGTATGCAGTATGCTATTCTGCTGGAATCTAAGCTAATCCTTTGTGGAAAAGTGCATTCACTTGAGGACGCTGGTCGTAGTGACTTGCGTTCCCATCAGTTATTTCAGTAAAAGTTTAATCCCTAGGACTTCTGCAATGATTTATGAATGATCTAGCAGAGGAACACTGTTACCACTTTAGGTGGTCAAGTTATCTGGATAATTGTGCTAGGCTAATTTGCCAGGGTAAGACCAAGGTTTCCATTTTCTGTGTATGTATGCACGTATAGCTGTGGAAAGCTGGCTGATTAAAGTTGTGGCTGAAAATTGAGCAATGTGCATGCATAGTCCAAAATCCTTCAATTTGTGGGTTTTGGTAGCAAAAATATCAGAAAGATTACTAAATCTCTGGGAGCACTCCTATTTCTATTATATGGTCTTCTTACTTTTTAAATTGAGTTGATAAAGTGTTTATTTTACATAGTTTTGTGATGTAGGATTTCTGTTATGTGTGGATTTTTGTTGTTTTTTCTTGAGTTCTACTTGTTTTACTTTCCTTTCCTGTGGCTCTTAAATGTTAGGGCTGCCAATGTGTTCCGATATAAAGAAAACTGAAGATTTGTTTAGGTCGTGGTATACCTTGCATCTTTAGTAGGAAAGTGCAAGCATTGTTGTGCTGGAATGGAGGAAAAACTTTGATTTTAGGAGGTCAGAAATGAGTAAAAATCCAGTTAACTGAGATAAAATTGCTATCTGTGATAATATCAGGGCAGCCATGAGTTACAGAAAGTTCAAGATGTGACTGATGGCATGGTCCTTCACGTGCTGTTATGGTCCTTCACGAGGGACCTCAACACACAATCAATGACCAAAGGAGACCAAGATCAAGGTGCATTAAGGTAGAGGAAGACCCTGGAGAGACCAAAGTATGTGTAATTTAATGAATTCTATTCTAATTTGATGAAGTGCAGAAATGACTAAAATTACTAATTGACCTGTACGTTGCTTATACATAGCTGATGCTCCAGGTGTTTGAATATATAAAAAGATGGAATTTGTGGTATTAACAAGCTATGCTGAGCAGAACATTATTCTTAAAGCTGTATAACAAACCATGGAGTATATTAATTTTAAAAGAGTTATTGAAAATCTTGTGTGCAACTGATTAAGCTCCATCCTTAAATTAGACAAAAAGTGTCATTTTTTTCAGTGTAAGGTGAAGGAAACATGGGCAATGTTATCTGGATTACAAGTACTCCGGAACAGTAAAAAGGTTGCAAGTGTGAATAACAATCAGAGTTTATCCCGTAACTGGGTAAAAAAGCAAAATGAGAAGTTTTTGTGATCATGCACTCTTCTACCTTACACGCAAATAGGCACTGCTCAATTCTGTACAAATAATTCCTGTAATTAAGTAATACCTGTTTATGTGTATATAAGGAAGAATAACAGATTTTTAAATTATTTTTCATGATCCAGAAGTTTAAAATGGAATTAAATAACCCTGAGCCAGATACCACAAACAATACAAGTTTAAAAACAGTACAATGATATGCTCGTTCTTTGCTTTCAAGTTGTGAAGCTTGAGACTTGTCCTCAAAATTCTGCTCCTTTAGCATTTGCAGCTATTCAGTCACCTAAAAAGAACTGAAACACACACACAGAACCTTGTGGAAATGCGTATTTGACTCATTAAAGTTTCTTCTTCTGTACCGATATGTTCTGTTGCTTGTGATGAAAAATGGTGCATGGGGCACAGTTGTGCCTGGATGAGTAGAAAGTAGTTTGGAAAATAGAAGTTCCCTATCTTGCTAAGCTATCATTGCCAGTGGGGTAAGGGAACATGTGCAGGTATCGTTGGGGTGTGAGACATGGGAAAAGTGGCTGGGTAGTTCTTTGAATACATCTATATATCAAGGACAGAGAGAGAAGGCAATCTCATCTGCATAAATTGCTCTACAAGTGGTTATATGTACGTGTTCACAAGAGCGTCTTAAAGGCAACAGCCTCCTACATACCAAGATCATTTGACTATTTTTGGTTTTTAGGCCCAATCCAAAGCAAAGCTGGGCCTGGTCAGGGTGGCCTGCAAGTTGCACACACCCAAGAGAAGCTGTAGCACACTTGTGTTTCAGACCTATGGTTCCCTGTTTCCACTGACTGTACAGCAATGAATTGGATGATGACCAAGCTGGTGTAAATCATGTTATACATGATGTATTGGAGAGGAGTGAAATACTTTGCTGTTGCGTCGTCTTCCTAATCTGGCTGTGCTGAAATCCTGGGTCATGCGACTAGAAATGCCGAAGATTCTTCTACTAGCTTGACAAAGTGTGTAATACAATGATAAGTTGTACTTATTTCGGCACTTGTGTCTTGTTATTCATGAGAGCTGAAGACTAAAATATGAAGTAAATCCTAATACAGAGCACCTGTGATGGGTGGTTGGCTTTTTCTTATTGTTGCTTATCATCCTTTAGCTGCTTGTCGTTAAAGACTAAGATGGTAGAAGAGGGAAAATACCTTGGAAGTTTTTAGGGCTCATTACATTCCTATTTATTCTCTTAGCCTCCGGTGTCTTGGACAAGATACTAAAAATCTTTGTTCTTATTGGAAAATCCGCTAAAAATATAATCTTCTCTAATTTCTTTGCAGTCAGTTTTACAGTTTAACTGACCGAGAAGCTGAAGTTGAGTTCAAGGATGCCAGTCACCTTCCACAGCTGTTTTTGGACAGAGCGCCTGATATTCAAGGCAGGCACTTCCGCAAGTCTCTCACGAGCATGGTAACCATCATTCGCAAAGCTACGGATGTGATTTTCATCACTTGCATTAGATCAAAACCTGAAAAGGTAGGGACTTTCTTCTATCAAGCAAACCTGTAGGTGCTGGATTAGTGCGATAAATACAGCAGTCTTTCATCCAAACAGACTCCCTCACTGAAAAAGAAACACATAGATGCACATAACGTACCTTTTTGGATTCTTCTCTCCAATTATGCTAACAAGCTTCATGCTGAGAAAGGATTAGGGCTGATGGACAGTCAAAGACAATGCTTCCTTCTTGGTAAAAAGGTGTGAAAAGATATAGGCACTAGCGCTGGAGTTCTTAGGCATACCTGCAGGAGGCCATATGACTAAGTTGAGCCATGAGAAACTGAAGTATAAAAAATGCTTAGTCACTATTCTAAGCTCTTCAATGACATCTTTAACACCTTTTGATTCGGAAGGAAAAGCCACAATGCAAATATTCCCCCGGCAGGTTCTGCTCAGTGTTTGCGGCTCAGTGGGGCAGCAGGACACCTGGCTGAGTAAAATTCTCAGTGGGAGCCCTGCACTCGCTCTGCCAGCGGGGCGTGGGCACCTGCAGGCGCTCAGAAAGCAAAGCTGGAGATTAAAGAGGCAGCAAGGTCCGATGGAATAAGCCCTCTACCAATTCCATTCTGTATTCTGTAGTAGGAGAGGAGTGAATTAAAAGGTAGAATCAAAAGAAGTGTTATGTGGGTCCCTCTAATACTTTTTATTAACCCTATTATTGATTCTTTGGAGCACTTCAAAGAATAGCCAAAGCAAGATGGTCAGGGAAAGACAAAATTTCTTGTTCAATTGCATTGCCAAGCAGTTAGTACTTACTTCTGAAAAATAAAATTTATACATGCTTTGGCTCTCTTGGTCTCTTACTCAGTTTTTCTTGAAAATGTTTTAATTTCAGTAAGAGAGATTTAAAGTTTGGATCAATTTTATTTCTTCTTTGTAGCTGGCTGTTTATCATCCCTTTAAAATTTATTCCTAACTTTGTGTGCGTGCGGCTCTTTTGGAACACCAGAATTAGATCTTGCTTGCTCTCTGCCTATATGGACTATTGATACTAGCTTGCAAAACCCAGTGGTCTCCAACTGAACTAATCGTAAAATACTATGTAAACATCTCCCTGCATCAAGGATATATATTAAGTTACATTCCACACAGACAATGTGAAATAAAAATATTGTAACTGAGAAATGGGTATCTAATACAAACGTTATTAATGTACCTCCCAAAGACTGCTCAGAGGCGAAGGTGACCGCATGGGCGGAGGTGGATGGTTACAGGCTGCCTTCTCTAACATCTGTGTAAATAGTGAAGTGGTGGCCCCTCCAAGTTACAAGGGCTGCAGTTTCAAATATTAAACTACAAAAAAGTCTGTCTGTGACTGTACTAAAGGAATTGCCTCTAGTATCTTTTCTTTTTTCTTTTTGGCTGCTGGTATTAAGAAAAATACCAGAAGACCACCAGGGAAGAAAGGGGCAGGAAAAGGACATAGGCATAATGAATGCCAAGATTTAATTGACACAGTAGCGGCTCATACTGTCTGTTCTCTTTGTGGAGATGTTATCCTTTGCGTGTTGATAACACTAATCTTCTAAAGAACCATACAGAACTGACTCATAACCCCCCGAGTTATTAAAAAAATAAAGTTTCTTCTTTAAAAAATACTATTTTCCCCAAAAGCCAAATATCCTGAATATTAAAACGGCTAAGTAGAACACTTAGAATAAGTTTTGATATCAAGAGGAGACAGTTAAGTGTTAAAAATAACCTTAATGATTGTTGCTGTACAGGCATCAGTAGTCTAGACAAAGGATACATAGGTGGCTTAAAATGGGAAACTAAGGCACTGAAAACCTATGTTTCATTCTCTCTCTGACTTTTCTATTAGACTTCCTTGAAAGACTGTTTTCTTGTAATTCACCTATGCCTGATTTTTTTCACCCCCAACTTCAGCTTCTGTCTGCAAGCAGGTATCAAGGTACCCATGTAAGAATGCAAATATGAGTGTGTGTTACAATTGATAAATTGTTCCAGGGTGTGTTGTTTTAAGGATGTATGGAAGGAAAATGTGGTTAAATAGAGATGCAGCCTGCTATGCATGTAGGAAGAGATGATAATATGCTGGAAATCACCAGTTCTAAACTTCAGCATTTCCATGTTCTCTTCAGTGAACAGAAAGGTTGACACAACCAGTCCAAATACAGATATCAGTAAAAAAAATTAGAGAAAGTTTAAAGTTTTCCACTGCAAGCAGTCATATGAGCTTAATATCAATGACAACTTCTGATTATAATTCATCTAGGTGAAAACTGCTTTTTACAGCAGAATTGTTAATAAATTTTGTTAGAATACACGTAAGAAAATATTAGACTTGATCAGAACTCTTTTGCTGCACTCTGGAAGTATTGTGGCATTATTTTAGAAGTTCCCTTAGATGAGAAGGCTCTATGGTACATGAGGAATTTTTTTAAAGGAAATTGTGAGGTCTGGTAGTGATCTAGAGAGATTTTTCCTGGATTCTTAATCATCACTGGGACTTGAGTCCACTGCAGGTGATTTACATCCATAAACATCACTTCCATCTCCCCCTCCTTGTGTTTTTACATTTTCCTGAAAAGCATTTCAGGGCAACCCAGGTTTAAGTTCCAGTCTAGACTGAAACTTATATCTTCCAATTTCTGTTGGGGGTGGGAGGGAAGACAGATAAGGACAGGAGAGGAAGTATGGTACAGAATTGCTAATACCTCAGTGGTAATTTACCTGGTTAATGCTGAAGTTAAGTTGATGTTTAACAATCGGAGCTGGAAGGCAAAAAATCAGAAAGTTTGCAACCATGCAGCTAGAACTATTCTATGCACAGCACGTGGTTCTTGCCTACAGAGTTCATGTAAGTTGTATTGATGATGGTCTTACCTCTAATAGTGTCAAGAGAATAGTTTATATAAAAAGAACAAACAAACCAAAAACTAACCACAAAATACTAAAAAACCAAAAGACAGAATTTTTATGACTTTTAATTATGTGTTTTGGAAATGAGGCTAATTGACTCTTTCATTTTAAGAACCTACTTGTTTGCAAAAGAAACTCAATACTCTTCAATTAAAAAAGTAAAATAACAACTCCAACAACCTCTTGTTTCTGTAACGTGGTCTCTCAGAGTAGGCCTGTGTGGTACAGTGCAGCTCAGTGATGATGTGCGTGAACCAACTCTGGGCAGACCTGCAGGATAACCTGATAAGTGCATCTCCTGTGCAGTGCTACTGCCTCCAGATCCTCCAGCACTGCATCACATACAACTGCCCTCTTCTTTCCTCAGGAGAAAACATTGTAATCATGCCTCATTATAATATTTGAAACAGTTGAGTTCAGAAAGGTACAAAATCACTTATGCAACTGCAAGAATGCCAACACTGTGTATGTATTTGAAGTTTTTGATTGCCAAGCTGGCAGAAGATTGGTCAGAACACTATAACTGAATTTCAGTGCAATATGTTGAAGTCCATATAGAGTACAGGTATGTACTTAGTGTTGGACGTGAGTGTTATTGCTTAGTATTAGCATCGCAATTTTTCTTTTCCTTCCACTGTTAGCTAGCTGTGATTTCAGTGAAGCAGCTCCTGACTAGTCATGACACTATTCAGTTGAAGATTTTGAGGCAAAACTTGGATGGTATCCAGCTCATCTGTAGCCATTTAAGGGAGGCAGAGAGTAAGACGAGAAATGAAATTCCCTTGTATTTAGGAAGAAGTTAGTCTGACCACTGGGCTATTGCATAAAAAAAAAAAATGGGTGGCTTTTTGCAGGATACTTGTATTGGAAAGGTAATCACTGTGGTACGTACTGGGCACAGCTGTCTGTGCTGATGTGGCCCGGGACACGGGATGAGAGGCAGGACCACCCTTTGCTTTGGCTCCAGATGTGAGTGGAGGTGAGTAAGGGCAAGCTCTGTTTTAGCAGACAAGTATGGGCAAGCCCAGGCAGAAAAGTTGTGTGGGAGTCTAAAAATAACCGTGGCAGGGGTTGTGTTAAGGGGCCCCTGTGCTGAGCACTGCGGTGCAGCAGGCTATTGACTGAACTGCTCTCTTGAGCTGAACAAGGGACCTGGCAGCTGGTTTGTGTTTCCACCTTGGAGGAGGAGGACTGTGGTGAAGGGCACAGAAAGGCTGTGCTGCCATTGGATGCCTCTTCCCATCAACTTCAGACACGTAAGAGGATGTCTTCCTCACTCATGGAATAGCTGCGGAAAACTGGTACTGGATGAACCGCCTGCCTTCTGCTGAAGGTAGAGCAGTATTTTTACAGTGGTATGCTGCTTTATTGATAAGAACATAAGCATATTTTTTATTGTATCAACATTTACAATTTCCCAACTTTTTAATTGGAAGTTAATGATGTATGGTTCTTCTAGTAACTAAATGAATATTTGAACTGCTGCAAGTTGCTTTAATAATTGTTCAGCTAATCATTTAAATTATCAAAGATCTTTACTTGTGCAAAGTCATATAAATGGAAAAAATTAAAAATTAATCAACTTGATTTACGTAACTAAAAGCTGCCATCTAACGGATATTTTTCAATAAGAAGACAGCAGTAATTATGCTGAAAAAATATTCGTTCCTGTAGTTTGAACGATTATAGCAATTTCCACCAGGGGATTTCGCAGTCAGGTTCCAGTTCTGGGCAACAGTGATTAATATAATGGTTATTAATGAGAATTCATTTTTGTACATCGAGGGGTGTTTGGGTGTCAGAGTTCCAAAAGCAATGTGGTTAGCATATTAATTATAAAAGATAGCATTGGACTGGTGACTAAGTAACTATATTGATTTTTTTCTCGTTTTCTGTGATGTGAAAGGTCAATTAGACTTATAGAAACAATGGAGCCTTTCACAGCAGGATCTATCGTTTCTCTGTGCTGACATCTTTTTAACCATGTACAAAGTTCATTAAATGTGCAAAGGTAGTAATGTTAAAAGGAAGAAAGTGATTGGGTCAGAGGTCACAAACCGTGGCAAGCTGACAGCCTCTTGTGAATTACACCA